CAATCATTTTTCCCGCAGTGTGCTCCCCCAAGGGACACGACATCAAACGTTTCCACAACGCCCTGTCGTTGGCGGAGTTCCCTTCATCTGTGGAAGGCGGTGGGATCCCTTCAAACACTCCTCCTCCTTTTTGCTTTTTACTTACGGTAAGTATTGTGGGATGGAACCCTAAGGTCGAGATCGCACTGGCAAAGAGGATTGTGGTGAGTGTCTGAATGTGGCCGTGTTAGTGGACAGGTGCAAACATTTGTGATTGATCTACATTTCTGCATATCTGTGTGGAACACGTCCACATTCAGACTCTTATTCCAATCGTCTTTGCCAGTGGGATCTGGCCCTAAGTCTTGGGATGGGTGACAGATAAAGAGGAGAGGAACAAGGAACAAATCCTTCTCTGCCTTTATGACCAACCTCCCCTCAATCGAACTGGTACTAGGGGCAACAGTCTTGGCAGCGGTGGTATTTCAACGCGCCACCATATATAGATGGCGGGGTAGGTTGTCGACATCCGAATCTACCCCGCCACATATCTTTTTTTTCATTTCTGGACCTCCACGAATCCGAGATGATGAGGACGATGAGGACATTCTAGCCAGGTGGTCTCATATTCCAGGACCTCCCCCTTCCCCCCCCCCCCCCCCCCCCCCCCCCCAAAAAAAAAAAAAAAGAAAAAAAAAAGGACATGCTGCTGGCCACCTTCCAACACCTTGTCAGGTGCCAGTTCTGCCAATAGGCAACTTGGCATGGTAAATTCCCTGTCACAACAACCCTGGTCATTCATTAGCATCCTACAAAACTGAACTTCAAACAAAAAAAGGAAAGAAAGAAAAGAAAGATTCTGAAAAGAAAAGTGCCAGCAAAAGCAGGAACGAATCCATTAACCTCTGGTCATCACGACCTAATACGTGCAGATCTGGTCGCAAGTAGATCTCCAAGGTTCCTTCCATCCCATCCCATCCCTTTGCAAATTGTTTCAAGTTTCAACACCCTGACAACGAAGTCTTCTCGTCTCCGGAAATGTCTCGGTATCTCAGAGCGGATAGAGGTATTCCTATCTCTGCGGTGCAGGTAGCTGCCGATTACTGAGCTCTTTGGCAATTTACTACAGTAACCCCACAACCAATAGCGTTGGCCATTCTGACACCCAGCTTTTCGGAAAGCCACATGCTGGACTCGTTCGTGGACATCTGCACACAGTCTAGTACTCGTGGCCGATTCTGGCTGGTTCAACGGATTACTGCTGCTTTTTTAATTCCAACTATACTTTTAGCAAATGTTTCCACTTTGATCTTGTTAAATATCCTACTTTTTTGGCATATGCATGTAGGAATAGAGGAAATTCTAGCAGACTATATTCACCATGAAGTCTAGTACTGGTGGCAGATTCTGGCTGCACACAGTCTAGTACTCGTGGCCGATTCTGGCTGCGCACAGTCTAGTACTCGTGGCGGATTCGGGCTGCACAAGCAACTTACAAAGTTGAAGTTAATCAAAAAAGAACTCCCAAATGCCGGAGCCATCATCTGTGGCATCTGTGCGTTTGAGCGTCAAGTTCCTGCAGTGGGCTGACTTCGTTCAAATTCCCCACCTATAACATCCTTGACAGAGGGGAGACGAATTGTTCCTTGCGGATAAAAATAAACTGACAGAATCTATTGGCTTCGTCCTGCCCGCCCCGACAGACGGCAGGAACTGAAACTCACAATGCGCGCACATGATACAGGCCAGAGGTGGGCTAGTGCGCTTCCCCATCCGGATGCCCACCTCCTGGTTTTTAGCAGCACACCCAGCATGTGCCCATACAAAGTGCATCCACTCCGGCCGCACAAAGCGACGGATCATTGCAAAAGTTCAGCCTCCTCCAATGGTCGTAACCAATGGTTAATCCAATGGTGTCCCCTTGATCACGAGTCTTGACTCGAACAAGCATCCGACCCGTAGCCGCATGAAAGGATATTAAAACCCACTTGACTGCATCCAAGATCTCCTCTTGCTGCAGTAATAGGCTAAACATATCTTTTATACTGTATACCCGAGCCAGTATCGTAGATTCACCCGTCTTCCTGAGGTTCCGATCAAAGCCAGGGTATCCGTCCGCAGGGATAGCGCCTCGGCGCCTTCAAGTTCGAAGTGCCACTCTGCGCTCTGAAGGCAAGGTGGACAAAAGATGGTTAAGGGCTTTGCAACCGCCTTCAAGTTGCCAGTCCTCGCCGTTAGCTCGGCGGGATAGCTTAGGCATAGCTTAGGCATAGCTTAGGCATACGCAGCGGAACCACGTTTGTCCCATGATCTCACAAACGAACTCAATCCATCACTCTTCACAAATCATCCCTCGTTCCTGCAAACACATCCTCCTCCCAATTCCACCGTCTGTTTGACTGCCTTGTACCCAACGATCCTCACGGACTGGTTTATCATCCCTTCAACCTTCAAAGTACAAATTGAATCTTGATGTGGCACATTGGTTGGCCTGGCAGATTATAGCCATTGACTGGCTCTCTTGATGTGCAAATTTTGGTTCTACATGAAGTATG